TTGCCATCAGGAGCTAGAAACCATAAAGTGCATATTCATTCACTGCCCTCTCTGCCCCTCCCATCTCCCTGCTCTTTGTGCATTTCTGTCAATTGTTGAACCTAAACTGGTGCCTTCCAAGAACTATAATTGAGTTACTGGAAGGGTGGAAAGTAAATGGTTTAAACTTGAGGGGCAAACCACTTTGAAGCATCATCCCTCTGGTCATCTTCTGGACTATTTGGACAGAAAGGAATGCAAGAATTTTTGAAGGGAAAATCTCATCTGAAGATTTGGTGCTTTGAAGGGCCCTTGCTACATTCTACTCATGGATGGCAGCACAGAAGAAATTCAGAGATGTTGCCCATCATGGCTTGTTTGAACCATCTCTTTCGTTTGGACAATTTTTTCAGCAGCATGACAGATTATTGTTGATTTTTATTTTTTTGTGGCATGTCACATGGGCGTGCTGCTCTATATTTATTATGCCGTGCCTGCTGTATAGAACCTTACTGTACATGGCCTAAATACATGGGATCTTGCTGCTCTTTTGGGTCTTTTGGGTTTACACACATAATAAATATATTTCCTATTTCAGAAAACCATCATTCTTGTAGGAGAATCCAAGTTTTTGTAAGTGGCTTTTAACCAGAAATAAATGCCCCAAACCCACCATGATGTTGAAGCTTTTTTGGTAGTCAGACAAACATTACTATTAACTATTAGGGATATCAGAGTTAAACATCTGTTCCAACCATTCTGGTGGTTTAGACCACCACACATGAAACCTAAGAAAAGATTTAGCTTGCTGGGCCATACAGTGTGCCACAGAATGAGAAATATATACAAACATATCGCTATAAAAAAGCCTAAGACAATCTCTAATTTGGCCCTCCACATCTAAACAAACTAAGTCAATGACTCAGAAAAACCATTCAAAATGTGGATAGCATTCAAGTAGTCAGACTCCATCTGGACTGATCTCCAAATTGCTTCCCCAGCAAAAAGCAGACTTCAAAAGGGCACCCGATTCAGCTTCCAGATAATCAGCCACATCACCCAACAAACCACCTGCCACAGAAATAAATGCATTATTATCTACTGCATAAAGACCAAAAAGACCATTTATAAAAAAAAGATCAAAGAAACCTTTACTATTGGCCATGACTCCTGCATCACATTTAATACAACTACCAGTAGACCTATTAGAATTGCAAACAAGATTTGAACTCAATCTTACACTTCCCAACATATCAGACTCATCAGAAACAATAGAAGAGAAGATATTGGAAATATGTGAAACCATCCACATCACGGGTTTATGCTTTTCATTAAGAAACATCCTCATTTCTAGTATACCAAATATAATAAAAAAGTAATTGCAATCCAATGAATCAAAATTAAAAAACACATAACATCAACTCACAATAAAAAGTAATTGCAATCCAACCAACACATCACGCCCTTTTTATTTACTTATGACAGAATTGAAAAAATTCAACGACAGAACCAAAATTAAGACTATTAAAAACAAAATTCCATGGACTAGCAAACAGGCTGCTCGAGCCAACTCAAAATAAACGAACAGATGAGGAACAGGCTTCATCTGTTCCACACAAGGAACAACACAGGTCCCCAATAGTTCCCCTCTTTGCAACTAAAGGTCTAGTTTTCATAAACTGTCTACAAACCCTCCATATAAAGAGCTTAAATCAAAGAGGGATTTTCATCTTCCTTATTTTGTAGGTTGACAGTCCAATGGAACCACATCAAGCTTATCTTCATTAAAATAAAACTGCTTAACTGTAAACTTGCCTTCAGAGTTTAAGACCCAAATGATTTTATCATCATTCCTTTGGGCAAAAACATTAGTATTAACAATATCCTGCGCATCCTCTGGAAAAAAAACCCTTGTTCAAATTATCCAACTACCTTGATCTTCAATAAAATCTTAACACGCATGTTTCTCATATCTTTATTTGGGGGTCCTATTTGGGGCTTAAATTTATTATTCTTGAAGATCCAAGTATGATTCCATACATTCGAACTAGATCTAGCATACACCAGAAAACCAAAATTATTAAGCTGAGACACAAGGGACCTCCCAATGCTGCTTTAACCACCAACCTGGAGGCTGAACTGTTTTTGCCTCCAGGTTGCAGGTCAGCAGTTTGACCATCCTGGTTGGACAGGTCAGACTGTGATACATTGGCATATTATATATACATACATATATGTATAAACATGTATTATATCAATTAAATAATATATAATTGTATTCTAGACGTAAAGTTCAAACATCACTTATAGAGGCTTTTGTAAAGATCAAAACATCAGCAAACAAAAGATGAGAAACCACAGGGAGCATTCTACAAATCTCGATACCATGAATTTTATTGTCCAACTCAGTCTTAATCATAACCTAGATAAACCTTCCATGGACCAAACAGAAAGATAAGGAGATAGGGGATCTCCTTGGTGCAAACATCTAGAGGGAACAAACATACCCTTAGGACTGCCATTGACTAAAACAGAAAAACTAATTGAAGACACACTCCAAAACTAATTGACACCCACTCGTTACAAAAACCTAGATTAAATAATCCCACTCAAGACTATCATATGCTTTAGAAATATCTGACTTTAACAGCCATATAACCACAACCAGATATCCTTTTCTTCATAAAATGAACAAGTTCTTGCACAATTACAATATTATCATGCATCAGCCTTCCTGGAACAAAAGCTGCCTGAAAGGGAGAAATACAATTCTAAATCTTCAATCTGTTAGCCACCAGTTTAGTTAAAATCTTGTTTAATACATTACATAAACTGATTGGTCTAATCTTTGATTGAGGAAGGATTAGCATTCTTATTCATAAAAAAAAGGATTAGCATTCTTGGGGATTAAATTTATAAAAGTATGCCTTTTTTTGATAAGTATAAAAGTATGTTTTTTTTTCTTTTTATAATCTTTTTATTTTTATAAAACTCACAAACATATTGATAAATATCCTCATTTCATTCCAAAATTTTTGGTATATAAAAGCTGGAAACCATTTGGTCCAAGCACATTTGAACTTCCAATAGAATTCACCACTTCCAGAACCTTCTCCATATCAGGCACAGTCATTAACATCTCATTGTCAACCTCAAATGTAACCAACTCAAATAAACTAGGGATAGGCTGAAAATCACCAACCCTCTTAGATTCAAAGAGATCTTTATGGTAATTAACCAAAATATTTGCACTATCTTCATCATTACTAAACCATCTTCTCAGGCTTATCAAAAAAAAAAAAAAAATCATTCCCAAGTCATCATTTAACCAATCAATCCAATCCCTTTTCCTTCTAATGATAATAGATTTATGAAAAAAAAACTTGAATTCCTATCACCAAGGTTGAGCTAAAGCTTCCTGGACTTTTGCTTACAAAATATTTCTTGCTGAATTAACACTTTCTCTTTTACTTTAATCAATTCTCGAATTTGATCATCAATGTAATCATTTTGATCCTGGTCTCCAGTTCAGCAATTTTATCCTCAGCCCACCTCAATTTCTGATCAATATTCCTAAAATTTTCAAAATTCCATCTACAAAGCTGATTTTTAATCCCATATAATCAAGTTCCAAAATATTGATACACCCCATTATGCCGAAAGGGTATGTAGCGATAGATTTGATACTTCGAACCTTGTTTTTTTTCAAAATTTCAGCTTGGGCCCATTTTTATGTGTTTTAATTATTAAAAGAGGTTTCCTAAAAACACCTTAAAATAGGTGTATTGGAACCTAAAAGATACGAGTTGAACCTTGCATCTAATTTAATTTCAATTCTAGAACCAGCATAACTATTTATGTTTTATTTCTAGCAATTATAATATTAATACATTCATTTTCCTCTAACCACATATCGAAAAATCTGAAAGGTTCAGGTTTTGAAACCAAACCAGAACCCATGGAAACAAAAATGGCTTTGATCTGATCTTCTAAAAGCGAAAACTGTGGGTGTCAGATTAGGGAACAAAGTCAAAAGCTCTTCATACAAGAAAGCTCTATCTAATTTCTTCCTAACACACACATTTGATTTCTTCCCATTAATCCAAGTATTCTTACCCCCTTTAACATTGTGTTAAGAATCCAGCAGGCCAAATTGAGGGTAAGCCCGGGACACAGAGCAATCAGGGCCACAGCGGGCCCAGTATTCACGAGACCGGCTCTCCAATCCAAGTCTCAAGCCACACCGAGCTTCGCTGGTATGTTTATGTAAGATGGCCATGTCAGCCAACTAACTGAGACTTGATGGGGCCCTTAGACGTGAGCCTATACTCTCTGTTGTAACAAACTATAGAATTATGTTGAATGAGAAATTGGGTCATCAAACTCCTTAAACAGAATTTCCCCCCTCTTCTTCTCTCGTCTTTCTACTCTCCTTCCTTTTCCCTCTCTTCTCTGAATTAAGTCAACTTGCAATCAGAGCATCAGAGTTAGGTGGAGCCTAACACATTAACTAGTACATGATTAAAACAGTCAATCAGATCATTCAGAATATACTCATATCTATTCAAAACAAAAGGATATATAAACATATCATCATCACAATCATCAATAGAAACCGTACTCAGACTTCAATTAAAGCCCATGGTGGTGAACTTGCAACCTGTTGAATCTATACTATATTCTAAAATGCTGTTGTCCACGTCAGATTGCTCATATTGCTTCCCAACCCTTTTAGAATTTTGTGGGTTTTCTGAATTTTTAAAAATATAAAATTAATTTGGGGCTATTTAAGTTCACCCACAGCTAATTCAGTTAGGAAACTGAATGTAATGTGGGCATCTTTTTAAAATGCGATGCACGGGTCTCTTCTAGTTGAATACTACATCCTCTTGGCTGATGTATCTGTATTGAGAGGATCTTCTATTTTGGTTTGATTTAGTTTTTGAGCTTGGTGTGTTGTGTATTTTATTGCAACTTTTTTGCTTCTTGTTAATGACGAGTTAATTGATTCTATCTAACAGGTTGCAGGATGTAGTTCACAGTGAAAAACGCTTGTATCTTGTTTTTGAATATCTGGACCTGGACTTAAAGAAGCACATGGATTCTTGTCCAGAGCTTGCAAAGGATCCACGTTTAATTAAAGTGCGTGATATGCCCTCCCCTCCCTTCTAGATATTCATGCAGTTCTATAGGAAGACATACTTGATGGGTCTTCAGGGTTTAGCTGCTACACTGAGACATTCTGGAACCATTTCCCCAAGAGGATTATATTTCTTGATAAAATTCTAGGAGGATTCATAACTGATTTTTCATTTTAGTTTAGCATATTTGATTGCATTTCTTTACAATAGACCAAATGTTGAATTGGTGATGAGGCTAAAGTGTAGTTTAACTTCATTAATTGACTTTCGTCCTGTCTTGCAGCTGTTTCTATATCAAATTCTTCGTGGAATTGCTTATTGCCATTCCCATAGAGTTCTACACCGAGATTTGAAACCTCAGAATTTGCTTATAGATCGTCGTACCAACGCTTTGAAGCTTGCAGACTTTGGATTAGCCAGGGCATTTGGTATTCCTGTTAGGACATTCACTCATGAGGTATCAACTAGAGGTCCAGTTGAAATTTTGAATTTTCTCTTCAATGGCATCTTATTATTATTCTTTATAAATACAAATCTCATCCTTTGATTCCTTTTTTTACCCAGCATTGTGAGTTCTAAGAAACTGTATAGGCTATTTACTCATTCAACCATTTTGCTCAGAAAGGAATTTTTAAAGGATTAAGTTATATCTATAAAACTGTATAGGCTATTTATACTTGCCTCTCTGTAACAACTAAGGGGGTGTTAAAAGTACTAGTGTTGTTAGGTGGCAGGGTATTATAATCATTTAATATTGTTTTAATTCAAGGAGGGTATTTATCTAAATGTACTCTGTTGAATAAAAGATACATATACTTGATATATACACTTGGTTGGCTGGTGGGTGAGAGTTGTGTGGTATATATATATATATACACTCTCTTCTTCTCTCTACTATACTTCTGCTAGGGGTGAGCATTATTCGGTTAAAACCGAATTACCGAACCGGAAATTTTGGTTTTGGTTTCTTTTTTGTTCTGTTTTTTTGGTTTTTGGATAATTCGGTTCGGTTAATTTGGTTTTTAGCAATTTCAGTTTTCAGTTTCGGTTTTCAGATTTAGAAATTCAGTTAACCAAAAAAACCGAATTAACTAAAATTCATTATATAATATATAATATTTAATATATAGTATGCTATATATTTATATATTAATATATTATATATAATGTATTATAATGAAATTAAATTTCATAATATATATTATAGGTTATAATATATAATATTATATATTAATTAAATTCTGTTTTTAACCAAAATAACCGAAAACCGAACCAAAATTTTCAGTTCGGTTATTTTGGTTTTATTGTAATTCGGTTTCGGTTCGGTTTGGTTTTCATTTTTTTATTTCGGTTTATTCGGTTTGGTTTTTAACTGAATAAACCGAATGCTCACCCCTAACTTCCGCTCTTTATTTCTTCTTTCTTTTTCTGCTCCGGGTTACTTCAATGGTATCAGAGCACTGTTAGTGACCTGGATTAATCTCATTCACCTATTCTTTTCTGCTCCTCCTCCTTTGGGTACAAAAAAGATTTTGCGGCAAAGCTATTATAGATCTTGGCTGAACTGAGACAACTGTATATTGGGTTGTGGTAAAATTGTTTATGGTGGTTTGATGAGCCCCTCTAATCAATAGTTCGAAGAGGGTTGTGGTGGTGTTTCAAGTGATTGGTGTTGTGAATGTGGAAAACCACAAATGATCAGTAACAAGGTAATGCTCTCTGCATGCTTCTTGAATTGTGAGAGGTGGGCAGCATTAGATAGTTGGTAGTTAAGTTATTGTGAAGTTGTGGTGTTCACAGAAAGTCCTAGCAGCTTTTTATGCTATGAAGAGTGCTGATTTATGTTAATCTGATGATATTATAGTAACTTGTGGTTATAGTCTTGAATTTTGCCTACAGGGTGTTTGTTTAGTGCCTTTAGTGTGGTTAGCAAGCTGCAATCTTTTGATTGGCTGATTATTTGTTAGAAGGTTATCTCGAGATAAAGTAGAGAGATGGTGGCTAAGGTGGCGTTTGATTACACCTTTTAGATGTCTGATGTCTGAAAATTTTGCTTTTCAGACCCCACCAATGTTTGGGTTTAGGTCTGACTAGAGGATCTGAAACACAAATTCCGATCTGAAATGGTAAGACCAGGTTTCCCGTCTTACCAAAATCAGACGCATTTATTGTTATTTAAATAATGAATAATATTGTTTATTTATTTTCATAAATAATAGCATTTATTAATAATATCTATTTAATAACATTATTTAGTAACAATAATAATATTTATTTATAAATAATAAAAGCTACTTAAATAATATTATAAATATTATTTCATAATATTAAAAATATTATTTAATAATAATGAATATTAGTATGCAATATTTATTTTTAGTTATTTAATTAATAATATTATTTTTTATTTGTTTAAAGAATAATAGTTAATATTGATATTTATTTAATATAATCTAATCATAATAATAAATCAGTATTGTTATTATTAATTAATAAATATATTTATTTATTTATTTAAATAAATAATAATATTATTAATAATAATTATTTAACAATAATAGTAATAAAAATAATATTATTCTAAAATAATAAATGATTTCATTTTAATTTAAATAAATAATAATATTATTAATAATAATTATTTAACAATAATAGTAATAAAAATAATATTATTCTAAAATAATAAATGATTTCATTTTAATTTAAATAAATAATAATATTTAGTATTAATATTTATATATTAATAAGAATATTTAATAATATGCTTATTAATAATAACTAAATATTTTTATTTATTATTAGTTAATAATAATAAATAAATAATATTATTAATTAAATAATAAAGAATTATTTATTTTAACGAATCATAATATTTGTTTATTAATAGAATAGTAATTTATTTAACATTTCTTTTTATTATTTATAATATTATCAAATAGGCTATTTCTAAGGGTAAAATAGCAAATGCCACAGTTTCAGATGTTGGACAATTGCTCCAACTCAAATGATCTTATCTTTTCGGAACCTTTAAAAAGCAGAAAATCATTTCTACTTTTTAGATTTCAGACCCCAATAACATGACTTTTCAGACTTCAGATTATCAAACGCCACCTAAGTGGTGATAGCAAATCTGGAATGATATTGGATTCAGAAGTGGTTGGAATGATGACATCAGTGAAACTAAATGGACAAAATAATGTACCATGGGCCAAATAAGTGGAGTCCTTTGTCAGAAAAGGGATAGCCAAGTATATTAGGGAAAAGAAGCCTAAACCCGAATCTGCAGGGAGCCTAGAATGTGTAAATCTTATGTTTCTGGAATCTGGGTATAGCCAAAGAAATACAGAATTATGTAAAGTTTTATTCTGGACAGAAACAATGTATCAAGGATTGTCCAGTTATATTAGGAATACTCTCTTCAACAAGGTGATAAGGTGCTGAGGAGTATATATCTACACAGCTACACTACAGAATTTGAGAAATGAGTTGAGTGTGTATCAACCATTATCTACAGACTTGAAGGCTCAGTGGCAGTACCCAAGTTACAAAGTATCAGAAACACAAGGTGTCTTGGGAAGGCAATTTTAAGAGATAAATAGGGATACACTTTAGCATGCATGGATATGGATGAAAAAAACAAAAATATGCATGGTGGATACACTAGGGAACTCAAATAAATCTTAAAAAATGTGTTAATGACAATAATTACAAATTATATATGACTATAATTAAGTTAATTAAACATAAAAGCCATACTTAATGGTTTATAAGAAGTGAGATATCAGGACACAATTGGTAACCATTGTAAAATAATGGAAAAACTAAAATGTGTATGCATATACCCTTAGTTTCCCGAAAATCGATATAAAGTATCTTAATATTTGTTAATATATAAATTTTATTAATCAATTTTAGAATTTATTGACAAACATCTACTAAGAAGAGAAAATTTCTTAATGTGTAATTGTGTATGTATATACACTTCTTGCATATGATTATAACAAGAAAATAGAGCATTGCATAGTGATGGACTTGTGGTCATTAAAACCTAATGGCTAGGGTTCAAATCTTCCTATTGCCTACTTGTAGTTTTTCATACTAAAATTTTTTATTGATAAAAAAAATTGCATATCATTCAAATCAGGCACTATATGGCATGCTGAATTTGAATTTGAAAACTTGCCTTAAATGTAGGACTAATTAACGAGAAAGGTTAATGTGAGATAGGAAGTAATTGTCTTAATGCAAGAGTAATTAACAAAAATGATTAATGAGAGGGAGTAATAATTTGTAAAGTATTGGTCTATATAGACCTAGAACAGCCTGATGCAGGTTTCGTGTTGGCTTGATATAGATGAAAAGGAACAGAACAAGCGATTTCTATATGTTCTGTATATCAGGCCCTCGTTGGAATGATATGTATTAGCCAATACAGTCCATTATGTTGCAAAATTTTAAACTTTGATGGTACTGGATACACCTAGATGTTGCCAGATTTTATCTGGATTGCAGTCTAATTATAAGCCAGTTAGAGCTTGAATCCTTTTAGTGGCAGTTTCTCTCCTCTTTCAGAGGTGTTTTCTTGTGTTAAAGGGGTGTTTACCACATAGAATGATCTTCCTTTTCATGTAGAGAGATTTGCCTTAGATGTGGCCTTAGGAGGTAGTAGAGGAGGGCGTAGTAGAAGTGGGAATGTGAGAGGTGGTGGCCATGGAACCAGAGGTGGATATGGTGGTATACAAGTAGCATGTATAACATATGCTTATATGTTATACATATATGCACGTGTATGTATATGTGTGTGTATACATATGTGTGTTTTAAAATAAGTAGGACCACTAGAATATATGATATCACTAAATTTAATAAAAATAGAAGTGCAAATCAGGGAACAATTAGGATTAGAGACCACTTATAAAAAATTAGGATTAGTGATCAAGAGATAACTAAATGTGACCTTTTTTCTGTATCTTTCTTCAATAATTCATAACAAGAGATACTGAGGTGGACGTTGCTTGTAGAATTAGAGCAGGATGGGCAAAATAGAGGTGTTAAGTTTTATTTATTGGCTGAAAGATGAACTGGAATAGTGCATGGTGTTTGAATTGTGTTGTTGGGAAGTAGAGGCTAAGAACTCTTTGAACAATGGACGTGCTTGTGAATGAGGAAGAAAGGTCAACAAGGCAATGATGATGAAAGAAATCCTTGTGAACTCGAGTGAAGAAGTCTTTGAGAGGGTGAAGTGGTTAGAGAAGTGTCTAGTGGGTCAATTCGTGAACTTTGATCTTGATGAAGTAGAGGTTCTGAGATGGGTGGAGTTTAAAAGAAGTCATTCATGTGAGAAAATTGAATGCAGGCTTCTTTCTTTTTATTTATTTTTTGTAGCAAGGAAGAGACAAATAAAATCTTGGAGAGAGAAACTTCTAAGCGTAGGACGCTAGACCTACGACTATGTAGATGGAATCCTCTTGTGGGTGCAATTCGAGAAGTAGGAAGTAGAATCCTTGTTTGAATTAATGCCTTTGGGATTCCTCTTCATGCCTGGAATCTTAATACGTTTTGTGCCATTGGGAATGCCTGTGGTTGTTTGAGAAGGGTTGATGCCCAAGCATATAAGTTGAAGAATATGGTTGTAGCAAGAATCCTGATTGAAGTAGAGAACCTTCACTTGATTCCCCTGAGCCTAGTGTGAAACTTTGTTGGGGAGTGATACAATTTGAGGTTAGTTATGGAAGGTTGCGTCCTGCTGCGTTGGCTTAAAGTAGATTCAATGATTTTTTCCTATCGAACTCAGGAGTAGGTCTGTTTTGCAGAGGAACTGGGGGAATCGATTGAGCAGGGGATTAGAAGTCTAGGGGAAGAAGATGATGGAAATTGAAGGGTTGGGCAGGTGGATAATCAGGAGGGGGATAGGGGAGAATCTGGAAACATGGGGGGTGAAGTTGTAATTTTTCAAGAGGGAGCTGAGAAGTCTTTAGTGGAGAAGGGACACGTGGATGGATTGATGGAGATTTTAAGAGGGGGAGCATTCCCGATAAAGCTAGTTGCTCTACCTCGAATTTGAAATCGGCTCAGTATAAGAGTGGGTCCCACAAGTTTAGGAGATTTGTGTGCAACTTTAAGATGGGTGGGTCCTGTGTCTTTGGTAAAGGTAAGTTAGGATTTTGGAAGGGGAGAATAAAGAGAAGAACTAGAGCAAAGCTTGGGTGTCTTTTAGAATCCACTGGAAGAAGGTCTCGGTAGCCATTTCATTAGAGGTGGATGTTTCTAGCGCCCAATTTATTGGGCATGGATCAGGGGCAGGCAATATTTTTTTGAGTTTGAGCGAGGTGTTCTTGTCTCTTAATGAAGCCAAAGGTAAGCAAGATCCGCTTTCTTCATCTCCATGCTTGGGTCTGAGTAAGGAGAATGTGGGTATTGTTGCTTGTCTGCAGGAGGAAGGCTTGGAGAAGGAGTCGGTAGTGAAGGAAGTGAGCAAGGGTGGGGTGGAGAAGGTGGAAGTAGGGTTGACCATCGAAACCAAGGTAGGGGAGGAAGGAGACATCATTGAGGTAGGAAGTGGCTTTTTTGAAACTGAGGGAGAGAAGGGGATTGCTTTGAACCTCCAAGATAAGTTAATTAGGAATGGTGTCAGTTATGAGGTTTCCAAAGTGGTTGTTGGAAGACTGGGATTGGATGTGGGTCGCGAGGTAAGAAGAGGTTGATTGGAAGTGGTAAGGTCTTGGAGAATCCTAAGTTGACGATAGTTTCAAACAAGCTTAATGTGATTCACGCTATGAAAGTTTTTTCAATATTGAAAGATGGTTTGGTGGGAGATGGGCTGACCAATAAGTATAAAAGAATTTACAAAAGAAATGGGGTTAAAAATAACTCCCCGAGTCTCGAGAACTTGTGTTTGAAGTTGTTCCTCTCTTCCGAAGGGGCTAGAAAGGTTTCCCCTGTGGTGGATTCCCAAAGAATGGATTCAAAAGTGCCTGACCGTTTAGAAAAAAAAAAACAAATCGGTCCGATGCTATTTTGATAGAGGTTTCGGTTGAAGTGACGGTGGGGGATAAGGCAACGCAGGAAAGAGGAGTGGACTTGAAAACTCAATTTGATAGAGAGGTGGAAATTGGTAAGTATATGGGCTTGTTCTTTTTAGGAGGAGAGGAGTTTGCTACAAGAGCTTTTGAAACTATGGAGAAAAAGAGGAAGTTGGAAAGGTTCCTGAAGCGTTAGGGGGAGAAATTTGGGATGAGAAAGGAGGTCCGGATGAGTTTGATGAGGCGGAAGTTTGATCTGTGCATAAGATCTGATTGGCTGGTGTAGTGTCTGTTGTGTAAGTGCTTTCTCATGTTTTTCTTTCTTTGTTTCTCCTTTGTTGTAGGCGGTTAGATGTAGTTGTTGGGTCTGGGGGGTGTTATCTTAACACTTGCCTTTAGCCTGTATTCAACTTTTCTTTTTCAATAAAATTTTCTTGTTACCTATCAAAAGAAAATGGAGGGGTGCATTTGGAGTTTTATGTGATATGACAAATACAACTTAGACTTTGTTCTTTTAAACTGTACAAGTGGGGAATTGGTCAATGGGGAAGTTGACCAACTTTCCTGCATTCTTTTGCATGGTATTGTAAGGCCTGTGAAAGTACATTTATTTTCCTTCGGTTAAATTTTTAGGCCACTTTCTTGTGTAAGTGTTAACCTTCTCCCAATTGGGTAAACCACTTTCCCATGGAGGGGAAAAGTTGGCTAAACTATTGTGGAACTAAAATGCCCCTTAGCACACAAAAGTTGGGCGTTTTTGGGAAATTATCTCACTTATCCAGCTAGCATTTTTTGACAAAAGAATATAGGGAAATGCATTTACTCGAGGTAGTGCATTTACCCGAGTATGTTCCTAGGAAAAGAATGGGCCTTACATTAAAAGGGAATTTCTATAAATCAGTTGTAATTTGTAAGGGTGGACACAAATCAAGCTATTTGTGAGCCATTTGAGCTCGTCTCACAAAAAAATCAATTCAACTCATTTCAAATTGAGCTTCGAGCTGAGATCCAGCCCAATACATAGGCTTGATTGCTAATAGAGTTGAGCTCTAATGGTAGGAAGTTTGCGGACCTAATCAAGCTTATATAATATTTTTAATTCTTTTATGTATAATAAGGACTAGTTTTTGATATGTACCACTTTTAATTTTTTATATGAAGCTTGGTTGATTGTCAAGCTTGAGCTAAGCCAATCTCAGTCATATGAGCTTTTGAGTCAAGTTGATTTCGAGCTAGTATTTCTAGATCGAATTGAGCCCGAGCTGAGTCTCGAGCCTTATGCTTTTCTGTTGAACCAAGATAAAATAGTCTAATATTTGGCTTGGCTTGGCTCGTATCAACCTCTATTGGGCGGGTACCACTGAGAGTGCATCAGGTGCATTTTCCGCTGCAAATAAGGAGTGCAGGATGGAGGAGTATGTCATTATTTAGATGGATAGACTGGGGTGAGGCTAGGGTGTATTAGTGAGGAGAATCACTAATGTTGCTGAAGCATGGGCTGCATTAACAGGTACATCATCATCGAAGGTGACTCGAAGCTAGTTATTGATAGTCTGAAAAGGATTTCCAGCCCCCCGTGGAGAGTGCGTCCAATATTGAAGAATGCAGAGATTTAAGGGGGAGATTAGAGGGAATGGTTGAGTATCGTCACATCTACAGAGAAGGAAGTATTGCTGCAGCCTGGCTAGCTAACTATGTGCAACCAATGAAGTATCTATCAGCTCCATTCCTAGGCCTTTAAGTGTAATCACTTGCTTTGATTTCTGGGGACGTGCTACCCCCTGTTTGTGTAGCCCTTTTCTGGTTCTATCAAAAAAAAAAAAAGTGAGGAGAACATAGTTGTCAAGGCAACGTCTAGGCAACAAGGCACCCTTGGAGTCTCGTCTCGCCTAATCACCAAGCAGTTTTCTATAGCGTGTTATAACAAACTTTTTATATTTTTAAAATTTTGAGGTTATAATTATAAATAGACATTTTAAACTAAAATATTCATTTTATGTGTTTATATTCTAATTTCTTTTTGTTATTTTCTTATTTGTTAGGGTTTAATCAACACAAATATTGCTAAATGCTGTATTGAACCCTCAATGACTTCAAAACCTGAACCAATAAGTAAGAAAGAACATAAAATGTTGTCCGATCAACACATTTTCTTCTTTTTCTTTACTAATTTTGTGTTTTTCTATAACAGAAATAGGGATTCAGCCCCTATATTTTTCGATTTTTCTTTTCTTCTTTTTCTTCTCATGAATATGTTGGAATGTGTTGATTTTCTATACTTTAACATGAAGTTTATACTTATGAAAATTATGGATATTTCTTAAGGAAATATGATTATGGAACCTAGGGAACTACCCTAGGATACATGTTTTTACTTCAAAAAAATCCATTGTCTAGGCGACTAGGCGCTCCCTGTCGCCTAGCCCCGCCTTGGCACTTTGAAAACTATGGTGGAGAATCACTGAATCAATCTAACTTGCTTATGTGTTTTAATGGTGAGATATTGGGTTCAATTCCTAAAGAGGCTTTGGTCACTGATCCAGGATGATTGAGTCAGTGCCTTGAGAGAAGGGACAGGGTTGTTTAATTCATTGTTTGGTCAATATTACTAAAATCTTCTCTAGATTGAAAAGTGGGACATGTGGTGTTGGTCCCTGTCAAAGTTTTAAAAGGGTTACAAAAGGCCCAGGGGTGTGTGCTAGAAAATTAGAAATAAGTGCTGTTTGTAATCCTGAGATTTTGTTTATTTATTTATTTATTTTTTTTTTTGGGGGGGGGGGGGGGTTGTAATTGCGCCATTGAGTTTTGTAATGTCATGCGGTGGATGTACCAATGAGTGCTGATCTGTGTAGGCAAGTGTTTGGAGCGCATTTATTTTATTGGTTATTCCTTTTCACCTGTCTTGTTTGCTCCCTATTTCTTTTGGAATAGCTTTTTATTCAACTAGCAAAAAAGAAAAGAAAAAGGAAATTGAAATGCATGATGTTGTCTTGTATAAGTATATTGTGTATTTCAGGCACGGGGTAGGGTTTTCATAACATGTCTAAGAAATTCTGTTACATGTTTGTTGTGCATGACAATGCAGATATTGCACCACCTTTAATTTGTGTCATACCTTGGTAATCTTCTTTTCAGGTTGTAACACTGTGGTATAGGGCACCAGAGATCCTACTTGGTTCCCGCCATTACTCTACCCCTGTTGATGTGTGGTCTGTGGGTTGTATATTTGCTGAGATGGTGAACCAGAAACCTTTATTCCCGGGAGACTCTGAAATTGATGAACTGTTCAAGATTTTCAGGTGTGCAATATCTTGGGTCTGGAGCTACAGAACCTGAAGGTTGGTCTGAGGCCCCTATAATTTGCCATTTATCTCATGCTCATAGGATTGGGATCCATTGTTTATTGGGCTCATTAAAAGAGTCAGATCAACTCAAGGATGTTCCAGAATAGTTATTTATTTATTTAATTTTGTCATTCTGATTGCGAAGTGCTGATTTTTGGCATATGGGAATCCCTTTGGTGGGATCAATCAAATACTTGATCTGTATCCTCTGTTCAATGAGATATCTGGCAAATTTGGGGATTTTAGACCCCTGTTATTAAGGTTTTAATGCTTACTCACTTATCAGGTTTATGCTCATGAGGTCTTACTGTCCTCCTTGCTTGTATTCTATACTTACATGTGGTCTCATTATGAAGATATTTGGGTACTCCAAATGAAGAAACATGGCCTGGGGTGACCTCATTACCTGATTTCAAGTCTGCCTTTCCTAAGTGGCCTCCTAAGGTGAGTGGGATTTAATATGGTTGTCCTTGCGTTAATCCTCTTTGTTTTGTAGGAGATTTACACTGTGGTTCCTCTGTTCTGCAGGATCTTGCAACTGTGGTCCCAAACCTTGAACCAGCTGGAATTGATCTTCTTTCTGTAAGTTTGAATTTTTTTATATATTTTATGAAAAAAGTAGTGCTCATAGCAGGCATAATGGCATACCCTTTTAGTGATAATGTTAACCTGTATGTGCTTATTAGCGTTTTCCCCATCATCGCACACCATTGGTAGGGAACATTCTGGTTATTTGTGGTTGCCACTTGTATTTGAGTTGTACTAGACCCACAACAGGCTAGTGAAAGAGAAACACCACAGTTTTCCATTAAAAGATATACACAACTGTGGAGTGTGGAGGTTGTCAAAGATCCTCTGTGGGGCTTCTGCCCGGGTTAGGGGGCAACCTCCTTGCTCAGCACGTGTCTGAAGTATTAGTATCTTTTGTGATGTTTTTGCCTTTGATCCTATAGCAAAAATTGACAGAGATTTATGTTTTCTGTTTCTCATCATTTCTGTACAATTGCCCCAGAAAATGCTCTGCTTGGATCCGACCAAAAGAATTACTGCACGGAATGCACTCGAGCATGAATACTTCAAGGATCTTGGATTTGTACCTTGACCCTCCCTCTCCTCTCTATAATGGTGCTCCACAAATTGTCTTTGTGAGTATGTTGATATAGTAGCGATTCATGGAGTTTGATTGTGTGAAAATTAGTGCTTTCTTTCAATGTATTCTTTTCTTGTTTCTGGTTCAAGAGTTCAAGACACATTAAACCATTGCTCGAGTCTGCAGTCATGGAATTGTGGTCTCTGTTGGGATTTTCATGTCTCAAAAAAATATTATTTCTGTGTAAATTAAATGGTATTCACTTTTGATACGCTTGCAAGTGGATCTTCATGCTTATTTGGAAACTTCTTTCTTCCCTTGTTCTGGAATTATTACTCTACTCAAAAAGACGCATCTGAAGACGTTTGAAACTCGACAACTGACTTGGATATTCAAATTTTCTGATTTCTATTTTACTGGGGGGGGGGCGGGGGGCGGCATCCAGAATTAAGTAACTTTCACAGAAGCCAATCAAGCTGCGGACTGGGTGGCGAACCAATCTCTTCATCTCCTCTTAACACTCAGTTTTTGCTCTTCCTTGCTCTTCCTTGTGTAGTTCCTCCTATTTCTAAAAAAAAAGGAATTAAATAACTACTGTATCATGATTTTGAATGGTCGTGGAATAGAATTTAGAGCCCAAGGTTTAAAGTAGCGATACAACACTCCTGATGTAGAGTATATTGTATCTGTATTCATGGTCATAGATATGGGATACACCACAACTAGGTATATATTCCACGAGTCGTGTGTATCAACATGATACCATATTGTGTCGTATTGGTGGATACAGTCTGATATGCATCGATACAGAAATGTTTTGGTGCCCAGTTTGATGAATAAAACATATTTATCATTTAAAAAATAATGGTATTATTTATTTAAAAATACTAAATAAATAAAATTTTTCAAAACTTTAACAAAAATTGAAATAGAGTGATAATTAAAGTGTGCATTTCTCATGCATTTCCATAGCATGTTCAAGTGTTTTGTATGCATTTCCCTAGTATATCCAAGTGTTTTCATGTCTTTCATATGTATCCATGTATTTCCAAAGTATATTTGTATCTGTATCTGAGATGCTTGATATGGCATCTGATACCAATACTTTGATTTTTGAAGCAAATAAGAGCTAATTGAGAGAGGTTAAATATATAGCAAACAAGAGGTAAATCACAGAATATGTACAACTATGTATACAATGGATGGTTGGTATGGGGGGGGGGGGGATATAGCGGTTTGGATGAGTTGGAGACAAAATCATGCACATCGGGTTGAGCTATATATTATGAGTGAACACACCAATATTCAATATAGATGGGGCCCATAATGAAAATTGGCGTGTTCACTAGGGTGCAAATGGATCGAATCATGACTTGATCTGAAGTTTGATCTTTTTTTTTTTTGGATTCGGATATTCCCATTTTAGATCTTTGGATCAGATTGGATAATAGGATGTGATAAGAAATTAGATCGAATTGGGATCACCCCTAGTCGATTCGAGAGGATCCAATCTGATATATATGTTATTTATTTATTTATAAATATGTTATTTATATTGCATTCGTAAATTTGTTATATTGTTTATCTTTTATAAAAAACATGTATATATATATATGATATGTAAAAAACATTTTTTATAAAAAGCATATATATATATATATGTATGATAAAAATAGTTGAAAAGATACTTGTATTTTTTGTTTTTCTTTATTTAAATTCTTATATTTTACTTTTCTTTTAATAATTTATTAATTCTTTTAAAAAATTAAATTGGATCGGATTAGATCCGAATATTCAACTTCCTCACGGATTCGATTTCAAATCAATGTTTGTGAGTTCCGATCAGGTTTGTTATTCATAGTATCAGATTGGATCGGATCCGGATATACCTTGATTTGAATCCTATCCAATCCGTTTGCATTCCCTAGTGTTCACTCATGATAGGTTGCCCAATTCGGTGTGCATGATTTTGTTTCCAACCAATCCGGTCTTGGGATATAGATGTTCTAAATGATCCTTGGATTGATGGGTGGATTCCATAGGCCCTATAAGATGCACATGCCATTTATAGAGCTAAGGTTGTGGTGTAGTTCGAAAAACAAATCACGTTAAAAGAAGTTTAAAAGAAAAGAACCAAAGCTGAAGTAAAAAGGATGAGCAACTCTTCATTGAATAATTAAGAGAAAAACAATAGAACTCCTCTAGCGTTGCCCTAGCTACTCTTTATATAAACTTCTTTATGCCCTTATGCTTCTTACAAGTTTCCTAATCTATTAAAACACTCCCTATTATAATCCTACTAAATCTCTTCAAAAAAGAAAGTCTTAATTGAATATAAATTTGAAAGTCCGTTATAACGCTAACTTGATAAATACGAACTTATAGAAATTATGCGATGGCACTAACTTGGTAAACACGAATTAAGATGGGTTGTCGAAACCAACTTAGTAATTGTTTTAGTGATTGTTCACCTAGTTGAGCCAAATCCCATACTGCATCAGGTTGCCTTTGCTAATCGACTACAAACCATTGTAATGAAGAAGTGATGTTATTTACTCACATTTTCCTACTAATATTGCCCAAGCAATAGTACACACCTCTATCCTTGCTCACAAGGTCCAACATCCTTGACTCTCACGATCAATTTACAACCGCTTCGGCCTGCAAATATCTCACTTCCTTACCTTAATCATCAACAACTAACTTGGTATTTGTAGTTTATTAGCGTGCCTTTTTTTTTGTTTGAAAATAACAAAAGTGTACTACACACAACAAGGGGTAGTACATCGCCAAAAATCAGCAAAACAAATAAGAAGAGATGGGGAAAACAAGGAAAAATAAAATCAAGAGAAGGAGAAGAGGAAGAGTGATCTTTGCGAGCAAGCCAGTCTGCTGCCTGGTTAGCCTCTCAAAAACATGCTGGTACCATAGACATCTATTGATTAGAACTCTTTTCCGCAAGCAACTTGAAATGATGCCTTTTAGCTACCATGAAACTTCCACCTTTTGTTGAGGCAAGAGATGATAAGTTTTGAATGTCCCTTGATGATGATTGGAAACTCCCCATAGTTCATTGCTTGGTTATGGGCTTCCCAAGCAGCCCATGCTTCTTCTTGGTTGATGGTGCAAATACCCAGTTTATAAGCTTTAACATCTAATACACGACCAAAGTGGTCACAAACAATACTAGCAACCGAACATTTCCATCACTACTACGAAAGGCATCAAAATTGATTTTAATAGTACCAAAATTTGGAGCAATCCAATATATTGGTTTCCATTGTTTGTCAATTCGGTCAAAGTCTAGGACTTATTCCCTTCTAAATTCTCCATAAACATCCCAAGAGCCCGAATTGTTTGTCAATTCGGTCAAAGTCTTGGATCCAACATATTGGTTTCCATTGCATTTCAATTAAATCAGAGCTCATTAAAAGACATGCTCGAATTGACACACTTTGCAGCACTAGTAATTAAGCACATGTGTTGCACGTGAGAAAATTTTTTTCATATTAATTACTTGAATTTTAGATATACCATAGTTAAGATAGAAATTGAAAATAAACAAAAGTAACAATATGATTAAAAATAAACTTAAATGCTTGTAGAAAATAACAATTATTATTATTATTATTATTATTATTATTATTATTATTATTTTGTATTGCATTTTTATCATAAATAAAAATAACTTTTATTTTAAAAATTATTCTTATTTCATATGATGAATATATAACATAAAAAATGTTCTCAAATATTTTTGACAAAATTCTGTACATTTTCATTTTTGGTGTTCTATCTTTTCTTGAATATTTATTATTCAATTATGATATCACAAGTTTCTTTGAAAAGTTGGATGATTAGTTTTAAATTAGGGAAATTATAGTCGGAGCCGACTGCATGTACATTTAAAATTAAGCTACAAGTTGGCCCATAAACTAACAAAACTCTAACAATTGGCTCTACATTTCAAATTATAAAAACTCTCGCTATGTCATCAAAGGCTTATGCGGTTGTAGCTAACATGGGACTCTTAATCCATATTGAACACAACAAAAAGATTATACCAAAATTGCCCTTTAATGTTGGGTGATTGGAAAATAAAAAAAGGGTTTTTAGTTTCTCTCTGTCTCTCTCTCACTCTCACTCTCACTCTCAATCTCCCTCACACTCTCTCACTCTCACAGTCATCTTTATTTGTTCAACGACTGTGTGATTTGAAAATAAATAAAAATGGTTTTTGGTTTCTATATTTACGTTCTCTATATCAATTTCTCTCATTCTATCTCTCTACCTATCGTTCTCCCTCAATCTCTCTCATTCTCTTTCTCAATCAATCTCTCATTCTCCCTTAATTTCTATCGTTCTCCTTTAGTTTCTCTCCCACTCCCTCTTTCGTTCTTTTTTTTTTTTTTAATTTTCTTACACACTTATGTAGTATTAATTAGATTGTATAAAACAACATGAGACCAACTTGGTATGGTTCAAAAATCGTTACACCTATTTGATAAAATTTCACGAGAAACTCTTGGCTATGTAATTTACACAAATTGGAGAATGATAGAGATTGAGGGAGAGAGAAGAAAATATTGACCCAGAGGGAGAATGAGAGAGAAATAGAGTTAGGTTTTGATTTGGCTACAGACCAAAGATGGAAGAGTGGGAGAGACAGAGGGAGCGGGAGATCGAGAGATGAATGTAAGAGAGAGAGAAGGGAGGGAGATCAAGAGACTGGGGGAGTGGGAGAGAAACTGAAAACCTATTTTCGGTATTGGCTTTTTGTTGGTTGTTAGAGTTTTGTTGGTTTTTGGACCAACCTGCAGCCTAATTTTAAATGTATAACCAACTTTGACTATAATTTTCCCTTTAAATTATATATTTCATTTACATTATATAAAATATTTTTTACTTATCACACTTAATTTTTGTTTGTCTTTGGTATTATTTGACTCAATACACTAACCCACCATCTAAAAAGAAAAATATTTTGATTTCTAAGTTGACACTAAATTTTTGTATTACATTTCCATCATTGATAAAATTATTTCTTATGTATAAAACTTATTTTTGTTTAATATAATGAATGCATGATATTAGAGATGTACCCAATATTTTTTATAAATATATAACATTAGATATGTGCCAAAAAAATTCTTTATCTTTTTTTAATATTTTTGTGATTCTTTGTATTTTTATTATTAAAATTTTTATTAATTGAATATGACATCATTTCATTTATAGGTGGATTTTAAATTTGGCATTCCATTTTCACCATTAATAAAAACACTTCTTATATTTTCTATTTATTTATTTTAATTTT